ATATAATAATCTTATGTACAAGTTGTTTCCCAAAACATTGAATTTCTGGTCCATCCAGTTCTGTTTAGGGACACACACGAAAGCTCACATTGTGGCCCAGAACGTAGGAGGAGGATGCTGTTTTTGACATACATAGGGGTTGTCATGCCGCACAGGTCCAGGTGGACGGATTTGGATGACGATCTTCACGTGTGATTTCACGACGAGCAGGGCGGCTCAGTTCCTTGGACTTCGTCGCATGGTGGTCGAGAGGCGGAGAGGCAGAGAGGCGGAGTGGGGTCGAGGAGTCTTGGGAGTCTTGGGAGGCACCACTAAGGGCGTTCATGTCGTGGACCCTAAGAGGCCGTAAGACGAGCTTCAATATCTTCAATTCCCAAGAAATTCAGAGGTTCAGTCAATTCAGCCTTTCTTCAGCATGTTTGCCCCAAAGGCCAAGCTTCTGCTCAAGCCAGCTTCTGAAGGTTCCCTCCACACGAAGGTGGTTTGGGAGGGTGATTTTTGTCTAGGACCAGGAACTGTAGTACGCCTGACATGCGATTTGTTATTTTTTAGGCAGAGTATTGTCAGACCAACGAAGCCTGAAGAAACCTTACAAACTGTTGCCAACCAAGAACTTACCCCATCCCTCCATGCAAGCACTTTTGCCCAAGCACCAAAGACTTTTGGTCAACTAATTTTTTTTGCACCAACATTTAATGACAACTGTTGTAGCTTTCCTTTATGGCCATGTGGCCCTGTGATAACGCAATTGCCCCTAAATTGGTGTAGCTGGACGAGGTTCGTCGTTCGCCTTTCGTTGTTCTGAACTCGCCGAGGTCGCTGAGGAGCTGAGCTCGAGACACCTGGCTGGGCCACCTGACTCGGCCCTGGCTGGGACGCCCCAGGTCCGTGAGGTCGCAAGGGGGAATCTTTTTTTTTGTTTGGTGGTGGAGTCAACCGGAATTCAGAGTATGGCCTCACCATGCTGTTGTAGGACCTCAGTGACCTTGGTTTTGAAGGGTCATTGGACGGATTTGGAGTCGCCCAGCTGAGTTGAGGGGAGTGTTGCAGCCAAAATTCATCTAGAGGATAATTAGGCGTATCATGGTCCAAGGTTGGCTTCATCCACTTGGAGGACGATCTCATTTATTTGGCCATATCATGTTGGATCTACACAGGATATCCCAAACATTTGCACATGCTATTCCTACTTTGAGGTCCGTGTCATAAGTCAGAAATGTGCAAGTTTGGAAGCATGGCTGGTGGACACGAACAGTTGCGGAGACAGAACCACACCTTTAACATCCACTAACTTCAGCCCTTTGCTGAGACACCTTTGCAAAGCCATCAAGCTGGAGCAGTGCCGCTTGGTGCCCAGAGAGTGGAATCAGGTCGACAGAGCAGTTCGGTCGGCTTTCGCTCCAACGATTCCAAGTGAATTGTTTGGGGTTAAGGCGGAGCCAGCTACGGGGTGGGTTCTGGGACATATTGGGGAGATCCCAAGAGGCAGAGAACAATGAGGTCAAACATCAAACGGCTCTTGGTACTTGGAAGCCCGAACTACCAATGGCACCAATGGATACCCATCGTAACATGTCCTGCTGCAGCATAGTGGAGGCGCCAAGTGTCGGTGGTGGATTCGCCACTTTGCCTTGTTCGTGTTTTGTCTTCTGGACTGACCTTCGGTGACGTGAACTCTTTTGCCCTTCAAGGCTGAATTGATCCAACAAGAACTGGGTGGACAACATCTGACAACTCTGAGGGGGTGGTCTTGGACTCTTCAGAGTTGGTGACACTAGGATCGACCCCGAAAGCACTTCTTTTTGTTGCATGAGGACGATACCAACTGTGAAGGTAGGAGGATGGTGAGAGTCTTGGATTGAATCAACGTACCATGCTGAAGATATTTTATGCAGACATTATTTACATTATCACAAGCATCACAAGTCTAAAGGCATTGGTTGCCTTCAGTTGCTGGGTGATGATCATATTCAGTATATGGTCTTTTTCTCTATAGCTCCTTTCCTCCCATTTTGAGCCTCCCGTCTAACCATGCTGACCAACCCTCACCTCCGTGCCATCAATCTGAGGTCGGCATCGCTGGCGTCCGGAGGGCGTCCGGCTCCAGCGCTGCGTCGGCCATCGGCGCTGTGGCGGCTCGGAGTGGCGGTGAGGGGCAAGCGGAGAGGGGCGAGAGGGGCGAGAGGGGTGGGAGGCGCCAGTAAGAACGTTCACATCATAGACCTAAGAGGATGGCGTACTTTAAGAGCTTCAAATCCCAAGAATGTGAATCCACAAATCAGCTGCTTCAGCTTTTCTTCAGCTTGTTTTCCGGTTCAGGGCAGGTTCCGAGGGACCCCATGTGAATTACCGACCCTTTTTTATCCTTCAATCGAATGATGTCCAAAGCTTCTGCAGTACTCCCAGCCGAGTCTTTGGGGAGGTCCTGATAGGTCATGTGGAGTCTTGGAAGGCACAATCAGTGGAATCAGGGACAAGGGAGCTAGGGAGCCTTGCCTTCTGTTTCAGTAGTCGACTGACCTTCCATGGACGCGCTTTGGTCAAAAATAAGGGGGCCACTCGTCACTCTTCAGAGTCTTTGACCGCGGAAGCCTCCCAGCGCCCAGCACCGAGGCTTCTGAACTCGGAGAAGGATTGGGCGATGCAGCCGGGAGCCTTGCGACTTCGGAAGTTCCGGCTGATTGAGCCCAGGGCGAATCTTCAGACTCGTCAGACTTTGGCTGCATAGTTACTGTATAGGGAGTTGTATATAGGGTGAACCAATGGTCAACCCAAAGGGTACGGGGATGGCGGGGATGGTGAGAATTTTGATTGGGCCAAGAATCATGGAGCATCCACAGAAAGTCAATGCCTCTTGGTTACTCTTGGTTGCTTTGGTGATCTATGTATAATCGTCACTGTTAGCATCTCTTTCTACCAGCTTTGAGGCGCTAGGAATTGCATCGAAGATGGGGAGCTTTCTTTGGAGTGGCGTGATTCGTCTAGTGCAGCGCTCACCTAGGAGACTAGAAGAAGAGCTTCAAGCCCAAACGTGTGCATTCGTGCTAATTTCCGAAGAGCCCATCTACGCATAGGCAGTTTGAGGGGACTTGAAGGAGTTGTGAGAGGCTGATCTGATTTCGAAAGCTTTGTCGTTGAATGAAAGATGCAGTAAGCTTCTGTAGTACAGCCTGGCATGCGCATCTTTTGCGGGGCAAGAAAGCCCTATAGAAAAGCTTCAGACCTATTGAATTTCTGGTCATTCCAGTTGTGTTAGGGACACAACTGAAAGCTCACAGCCTATGGCCCTTTGATATCGAACTACCCCAGAACATAGGTGGATGATGTATCGAACCACACCAGTGACATAGGGGTTGTATCTATGCAGCACAGGTGGGGTCGGATGACGTTCTTCACGTGTTGTCTCCTTTCCCGGAGAGAGCAGCTGAGCATGGCTGAGCTTACTGAGGCGCCGCGTTGACCGAGCCATTCCAAGATCAATAGATCCATATTTTGGTCACTCAATGGAACTGCCACACATCAGCTAATGTACAAGGTGGTGAAGCTGGCTCCTGGGAGCACCTTTTGGGCATTTGTCCCCCCCCGCACAATTGTTGAACCTATAGGACTCTACAGGAGCCCCGCCTAACCTACCACCCTTTTATGGGGCTAAGGTCGAGCTTCCAGTAGGTGTCCTTAAGTCAAGAGTGGCGACCTTCGTATTGATGATTCAGTTCCCAAGGTTTGCTACCCCCAAGCCATTAAAACAATGTATACATACAATGTATGCAAGTATATATATAATACATATCACATGCAACACTTATAAAGACACATGGCATAAGCCCAGATCATTTCCTGCTGGGTCTTTACTTCCATGCTGACCTCTTTACGTCTTTTTGCACCAACTTCCCTTTTGGTCCAACATGATCCAACTGGCCGACCCGAGGCACTTGATGTTGCTCGATGGCCATGTCGTGCCAGTCGCGTGGAGGCTGGAGGATCTTTCTCTTATCATGATGGATGCTTGCAATGCACGGTGTTGAGATACAACATGCCCAGAGCATGTTGTTTGGCTTTCATTGGTCGCAGGGCCTTAAGATGTGTATAGTAGCTTTTAGACTTGACATTGCATCAGCAGTCTCACTGTCCAACCTTTGTTGTGTCCATTTGTTGGGGTTCAAAAAGCTCGTGCCTCCGTGTGTGCCACATAGAGCTCCGAGCATCTGGTCAGCTGGTCTGCCGAGCATCTTCTCATGGCACCGCCTCGTCAGAGTCCAATTCCTGTGAACCGGGACGTGACTCGGTGTTGACATGTGCTGTTGACCTTGTTGGAACGTGAGCAGTTTGATTCGTTGTGGACCTGTGGATTTTGAACTGATCATCGGACGGTTTGGTTTGCCCAGAGATGGGGTCCAACATATACTTATTGAGCTCAAAACATGTTGTTTGTTTAAGGAAGTTCCGTATAAATCGATGTCAAAACGGTTTTGCCTTTGCCGATGGTGTCCGCCCGGGTGCCGCCCACCTTTTCTGCCGCCTCCCTTTTTTGTGGAAAATCCGTCTCCGAGGACGAAAGGGAACGATTTTGGCGGCAATGGCGTGAACTGTACGACCGGTACCGGGTCCGGATCGCTGCGGAAGGGCGTTGTTCGTGGACCGCGTTGGATGGGCCCCGAAGAGGCGAAGACGTGGAGCCGTGGATCGAAGCCATCACTGGGTTCTCGGAGGCGGTGCTGAGAGCGGACCTGGAGAAGGCGGACGATGCCCTGAATCTGGATTCCAAGTTCCAATTTGGTCTTGGCGCCAGGTCTAGAGCTTGCCTGGAGACTTTGAAAGGAGAGCTTCTTCCGCAGCGTTTGACCGCCCTGACGTCCTTGAGGCAAACCGGAATCCCGGAGGCCGTGGAAGTCCTTGGCCTGTTGCTCCGGGAACTTTGGGCTCGCATCACTGGAGGCAACTCCAAGCTCTGTGAACAAGAGACAACACAGTTGCAGCGATTGCTGGACTTGATGCAGAAGGCCATCGCAGACTGGGATCGAGTGAAGAATCCAAACCAGATCGAGTGGTGTGGCCACTTTTGCTCACCCATTTGGTCGCTCCGGCAGAGTGCTGGCCGTGGTCCTCCGAGTCCTGTGGACTACGAAGTGGCCTTGGAGGATTTGAGAGATCTGGTGGAAAAAGTGCAAGACATTCTGACCTCGAGGCAGCCCCCAGTGGATCAGCCGGGCCAAGCACCAAGTGCATCGGAAGTGCAAGAAGAAGTGGAAGTGGAGGATGAACTTCGAACAATGAGGCACGACTTGACTGACTTGAAGGGCTTGACGTTGGGTTTGAAGGAAGAAGTGTCGACATCGCATCAGGACAAGTTGCAGATGAAGGAGGAATTGGAGAAACTGATGTCGGAGAATGACACTTTGAAATTCCAGATGACCAAGATGGACGACAGGTTGAAGAAGATGGAAAACGAGTCTTCAGCTGAGAAAGAGCTGCACCAGAAGTTGGAGAGTGAAAACCTCAGGATGAAGGATGAGCTGATAGAGCTGCAAAATGAGAAGCTGAAGATGCAGGAGGTAAAGTCAGACAATGAGAGCTTGAAGCACCAAATAGGCCATGTTGAGGATGAGATGAAGGAGTTGAAGAAAGAGATCATGATTGCTCAGGAAGGTCAGCAGAGTCTGGCGGATTTACAGGTCAAAGTGAGCCAAGTAGAGCAGCTTGAGGAGACTCTCAAGAGACTGGACTCGGAATTGCTGAGCACGAAGGCGGAATTGCAGGAGTTCAGATCCAAGCATGACGCGTCCGGTGTGAAAGCAGATCTTGAGAAGCTGGAGTTGAGAGGAGAGCTTCTCAACATGAAGAAGGATCTGCATGAGGTGAGCATGAAGTATGATCGATTGACTGCCAAGGGCAACTTGAAGACAAAGAAAGACTTGGGTGAGTATGGGGACTTGACGCTGCATCAGCTATTGCATTTGTCTGGTTTGGCAAAGACCGAGTTCAGCGATGCCTGCTCGGATGCCTCTTGGGTTCAAATCCAACAAGATCAAGAGACACCAATGCAGCTCAGTGCAAGTTCTGGCTTTTCTGTGGACACCAGCGGTTCACGCTGCTTTATGCTCGATACCATCTTCAAGACACCCACTGGCTCCTTCTTGAGCGGTCCAGAGTTGTGCCTAAGCTGGAAATACATACACACACTGCAGGCCAATTGTCAAGCTAGTCTTTGGCTGCTTCAGCACTAGTGCCAAAATCATATCATCGCATCCCAGCACTCAGCGCTTGCCCCATGGCCCCTTCATAGACTCAACCCAACATTTATGACCCACAGCTTTCAAGAAGACTTCGTATAGGATGACCTGCACCTTTTGAAGCGGGCTTAGTCAGTGTAGCATGACCTGGTGAGTTTTTGAAGAAATGCACAAGCCTTGATCTTTGCAGCCTCAGGTCGAAAGGCGCTGAGATCCTGGCAGCCGACGGGTCCACCATTTTAAAGGTCGCTTCCGACCCCGAGCAGCACACCGCCCGTGGAACGGTGATCCTCGAGGCCCAGGAAGCCAAGCTTCAAGTGACCACCGACCACCGCGTCGTGTTGGCCACTGGTGACCTCGCAACTCTTCTGCAATTCATGTTGCAATTTGTAGAGCCTCTAGAGCAGCAAAGCAGCCACATTCACAACCTGTAAAAGCACTGAAAGTCATCTTGACGCTCAATTCCACGACATGCTTGAGTGATCCTTTGCAGGTATCAGCTGCGCAGCTGAAAGTGGGAGATGAGGTTGTGGCCGACGGCGTCCCGACGAAGCTGACCGCGGTGGACTTCGTCCCAGGTGAAGTGCCCGTGTTGAAGATCACCTTCCAGCCGGACCTGCCAGTGGCGGTGTTTCATCCTCGGCCATGCATCCATAGCCATGGCCATAAGCCCAAGAAGACTCGCCGTGGTCGGACTGGGAAGTATTTTCGTGCAGTCAAGGATGGAGCAGATGCCTGGAGTGTGCCTGACACACAGGGCTACCTGACTGATTGAGACCTTGCTTTTGCCTAGCATATTTTGTGCAATGGAATGTTTTTACTACGTATTATATTTTTGAACATGTCGATAGCGCAGCCATATTCTTTTCTGCATCGCGACAACTTTACACTCGGACTGCGTTTTCCAGCGTATAGACAGTTGCATTCGATCAACAGAACAGAGTGGATATTTTCCTTTCAGTGATTGTGGGGTTGTTGACCTGTCAGCTTGCAATCGAAGGAGCAGCAGAAGCTTGCTTGGATGAATTGGAGCTCAAGTTAACAGCGCTGAGTGCACTTCTCACCCTTCAACTTACTTCAATTGGGAGGGAGTCTTAGATCACATTGTGAGGCCAACAGATTCTTTGTACCGGGAATAAAGTCTTGGATATGCTTGGATGATGTTCCTCTCTTCTGATGCATTGAGTCTGTACACAGACATTCCTTGGCACCTATAGAATGCATCTAGCATATTATACGTGCAGATGAGCGCTCAGCTTGAAGGGTGAGGAGTTCACAATTTGCACAGGCACTGCCAAAGGGCCATGCCTGATGCTGGGTAGTATGCGTTGAGTTTTGATAGTTGGTGTTCTTGGCACGCACCTCAACATCAGCATTTCTTCAGCATTGAACTCATGGAACGAAACGGTATCCACTCAACACTGGTGTGTCTCAAATGGTGCACCCAGGAAGCAACTGATTGCAGTTGTTTTGAGCTGGAGTTCAGGTTGTGGTGCTGTCGCCAGCGGTAAGAGCTCTGTTTGCAGAGAGGGAGAGAGAGATCCACCTGAGTCTTGAGTTCGCCCAAACGACAGGGCTTGCTGACATTGCTTTCTATCGTGTAGCAGGGTTTCTTGTACAGACAACTCTGGTAAAACATGTGACCTGTATGTAACTCAGGCGGTGTGGACGCGAAAAGGTGGCCTGCAGATGAATTTGACACGGTGGATTTGAAAATTCTTGAGTGGCACTCATGCCACATCACCTCAAAAGGAGGAATATTAGACGCCTTGGACCATGTTGGAGCTTCAGCTGAAGAGTTCGTTGAGTCTATTTACAAAGCAAATTAGTTGTTAGTATGCATGTTCTTGTTGTTTTCAGTCGCTGGGGTCCTTCTCCATACCTTGGCGATCTTAGAATCTTAGAACCTTTTCCCGTCCTACGGATGAACAAAAAGGAGAAGCAAACATGACCAATTCTGCCACATGTCTCGGACTGGGCAGCTTCGGCGAACGTCGCAGATCGGCGTTTTCACGCCTGTCTGAGCGCCTGTTAACGTAGAGATTGACGTTGATGTCGATGGGTGATTTGCCTTCAGAGATTCAGATTACCTTGTTGAAACATTTTACTGTATGATATCTACAACAAACCCAACTTGTATGATTTTATACGTATGATGATATGTTATGCCAAACATATGTACAACATCATGTTAACAGAAAGGGGGGCAGAACACGGACATCCACGGATCCTCCGCAGATTTTCAGCTGGAACCATCCACTCTCACCAGCAGGCGGATCGGCGACACACTGCGGCGGATTTTTCGGTGGGGCATGTCCTGGGCGATCCATTGGAGCGACATGGATGGAATCACGATTTATTATACATGAATCGACGTGAATGATTGTTTTTCATGGTTTTTCAATGTTATCTTTTTACATGGTTTATGTACCAAAGGAACATGAGCGGATGCTTTTGACACAGGGTTTGTGGTTGCCAATGAGCTTAGTGATCCTACCCAGCTTCCTCCTCACTGTAACGTGGTATTGCACAGGTAGGTTTCACATCACCACTAGAATATCGTGCTCCACCCAGCCCTTATTGACATGTTGATGGGCCCAACAAGAAGAACATGGAACTAGTATGAAATAATTTCGAAAGGTACGTACGCTTGTTTGGAATTGTTTGGCGCTCCATTTATTGGTACCCCACGGATACCGGACATGGGGTGAGCATTTGCTTTACTTCAAAACTGGGAAAGGGCGCAGGAAGCCAACACTGATCTTCTACGAGTTCAAGGGGCAAAGAAAAGGAACACCCATCGGTGCTTTCAAAAGCCAAGAAGATGCAGACTTGATGCCATCAGTACCATGGGGAACCATGTGGACTTGCACCCCTCGCGCAGAATGAGATCATGTCGAAACAACCAAAAAGTCGGACTCCGAGTCGGAGCTCCAACTGCAGCGTGGTGACCTCTTTGAGTTGGACATTCAACGACTCCGTTCGCTTCAGGCACTATGAAGCACTGAAAGCTCATCCAGCTGGAGCAGTGCGCTGCTGCTTTGCCGGTGCCGAGGCTGGTGGATCCAAAACGTCAGCTTCCCCAGCGCGACGTGAGAGTTGTTGTTGGGGCGATGTCCAAACGATCCATGCGGGGTTTGTTCGGTTGCTTTTTAAGACCAAACTTGCGGCCAAGCGGTTTTCCATGGTTTTCCGTTGGGGATGGTTCTCTTTAATATTTCCAAGGACTCGTTTGGCACTTCTGTGAAAGAGCACATGCCATTCATGCCACCAACTGTACTCATAGCATTCCATGATATTCCATGATTCGAATACAAGTTCATCGCAGCTTCGCTCTTGAGTGAGCTATGAACTAAGGAGCGTTGTTTTCCTTTGTGGATCGATCGACTCGGGTCATTTCAGGCTTCTCGAGGACAGTAGTCGCTCTACCGCAGCGGGTTTATGGGTCCAGAACTCCCCACCTTCAGACCCCCCAGGTCATGGAGTCAGAGTGCTCAGGGCGTGTTGGGATGTGTAGGGTCCATCCATGTCCATCCACAAGGGTGTACAAGAAACAAGCACATGGCAACCACAGTTTGGCATTTTCAGGCCCTGAAGTGTTTGGTAGCACCTGTATCTTCTCTTTGGGTTTCTTCATGTTTCTTCCCCAAGTTGTCCCAGTCTCTATGTCTAAGTGTCTAGCATTGGCTCTTGCTCCTAGGAGGCGAATATGTCTTTAACGAATGTCCTGACTCCCTTTCTTGTTGAAAGCGTTGACTGTTGAAATCCTCCGAATCTCATAGAAAATGCTTGTACAACAACCCTGAGAAACAACACGCCGCATCCACCGATCCACTCCAGCCTGAGATCTTCTGCGAGGTGCAACGTCATCGGAAAGGCGTGGAGTTGACTTTTTGGTGATTCAGCCAAGCAACTTCAAAAAAGAGGGATGTTTCATTGCGGCTAGAATTTGTTGAGCCTCGTTCTTGTAGCATTGGCGGAGAGTTCTTTTTTGGGTTCACAACGACATGGATCAAGAGATTATTGAAGGTGACTTCAGGAACATGAACAATCTAATGATCTTCGCATTTGTTAGCTGCTAGCTAATTGCAATCAGGTAGGAACATCAAGTTCCATGAGCTGAAAGGAACATTGAAGGAGAGCTTGTGTGTTGAAAGCAATCTCATAGCAACAAGCTATGCTGAAGGTTTCAAACAACTTACAGTGGTTTCAGAGTAGATGGCACGATCCCTGCTGTGAGTGGTTTAGATGGACCCCCAATGACCCCCATTTGTCTAAGACATTTTTGGGTTGTTTGTGCATCAAACCTTTCACATCACTATGTTATATTTGATTGAGATGATTGATTGAGATGTTTCAGAGTAGATGTTTTAGAGTAGATTTGATTGAAATGAGATGTTTCAAACCACATATATATACAGATATGATTGAGATGTTTCACATCTTTCCACAGCCTGGTGTGAGCTGTAACGACCGCAAGGACCTCGAGGGTGCTGTGAGGAAGTGCACCACCGAGGCGGGGGGTGGCCTGATCAAACAGCAGCTGGTGGCTGATCAGAGAATCTTCATCCAGATGGCGGCAGAATTCACCATTGCCCAATAGGTTTTGAACTGCACTACTCCTTTGCAAATCTAATGAGCTGTGTCCACACTACACATTTACAAGATATTCACTGAGGTCCCTGACCCTGAATATCCTTTCAGCCTTTCAGCTTTTCCAAATTTAATGGGTTTGTTTCTCTTTCTCTCCCTGTTCTGCAAAAGATGCACCTATTGTCCAACCTCAGACGTCTCATTCAAACATGACGTTTCAGCTGTATGTCGCCAATGACCTTTCGCTCCTCACCGTCCGCGCCGGCTCGACTGGCAGGCCACCGGTGACCTGGAAGCAGATCTGCAGGATGGGCCGGGGAACCATGTCGCTAAGTGAGTTTCTCGGGTGAACATGAGCTACGGCCATGACCAGTGGCTTGAGGCTAATGGATGTTGCAGACTTTTTTTCTGGTGGTATTTCAAGGTTAAGTTAACATCATGTATATAAAAACACATTTGGTGAGTTGGTAAGGCTATAGAAATGGTTGGTCACCGCTGGATTATTGATGCACTTATTGATGCCTATTGTCCAAATGACCTGCAAGATGTTGATGGTTTGTAAAAGGGGAGTTGTCGACTAGGGTCCGGGTTGCCGAAAGTGGAGACATGTATGCGGAAAGCTGGCTGCTCATGGGTCAAATACAACTTTAAGTTTTTGCTCCAATATTGTCATCACACTGACAGGCCAGGTTTCCCTCTTGAGTTTTCATGCTTCCCAACTAACATTTGTGAAACACATTCCTCTGTGGTGAAGGAAGTGTTGTCAGGTTCGGGACTATGTCGGTGCAATGCGAGATTGAAGCACAAGTCACAGACGTAGTTTATCCGACTAGTTGGACTTTACTGCAGATCAACTTACAGGAATTCTGAGGTACGTTGAACAGCCATGAGAAACTCTTTCGGGACTCTTCTTGTGTTTCCGTGAATGGATATACCGTCAAAAGCGCATAGGCTTAGGTGGGTGATGTGCCTCCGTGAGTCTTTTTGAAGAACTGTCCCTCAGGGAGGCGGCCAGAGACCTGGAGATGTTAGCATTGGACGCGGCCAGAGACCCGTGGGACATGGCGACATGTCGTCGTGCCAGAGTTGTGTGAAGCCTCGGTGCTGGCGATATTGTAGACCCACCCTTTTGGGTAGGGAGTCTTTGCACTGAAACTGAAACGAGTCCTTGCAACACTCATGTGGCAGGTCCACCGACAAAAGGACTTTTCTCGAGCTTCTCTTGGCTTGGGATTGGTCCAGAGCTCAGAGTTTTCTTACACAGGATGGAGTGACCCGGTAGACCTGAGACAATGGTGATGGGTTTCTATCATGGACCATTGCCTTTCTCATTGTCATGAAGAGACCCTTCATACTTGCATCATCTTGCATCCATTGGTTCTTCCATGCAGGATGATGTAGCCGGATGTTCCTGTTGCAACAGGCAACTGACATTTCAATTCTTACACACCTCTGAAAGAGAACACCAAAGACCAAATATTACCAAATATGCCTCAGAGAACAAGAGGATCTGAACATGCAACTTGTCACTCAGCACATCAACGTTGGCTGGTGCCCTCGCCATGGATGTGTGGTAACTTTGCGTGGACGATTTTCAAGATGGCCTTCATGGCCTGTCTGAACCTGCTCGACATTGTGACGGACATATTGGTTCTGCTTCGGTACAGCTGCATCCTGGAATCAGACGCAGGAGAGCCCTGTGCCGGGTCAGTGCCAAACAGTAGCTGCCAGCCACATCCATGGTGGACGTTCATCGGCTTGATGATATTGAGTGTGTCTACCTTTCTCAGCGCAATGGTTTGGGTTAATCCTGCGGCAAAAAACTTTAGTGAGAAGATTAGATCAAAAAAAGTGACGCTGCGAGACTGGGCAATGCCTTGAGTGCATTTCATAGTTGCTGTGATACAGCTTTCGCCCTTTGTCGACCTCGTTCAAGTGGCATGGAGTGGCACCGACGCACAAGACCCAGAACAAAGACGAGCTGCAAGACATCGTGACCTGCAGATCAAAAAGTTTGAGTCGGCTCCACAAGCTTTGTTCCAGTCATATGTCTTCTTCGCGATGGCATCACACAAGCAACCTTTGAACATCCTTTCCATTGCCATCTCAATCTTGAGCTTGTCTCTGGGGTTTGTTGAGTTCTATATGGAGAAAGAGGAGCATGTTCGAGCTGACGCAAATGCAGAAGACAGTGCCGATCCCACAAGATGGAGTGTGCAAGCTGACGTGCTGGGTGCCAAAGAGGAGGGCATCATTTTACAGGCTGATGGGGCGGGTTCCCTACCAGTTGACATCACCAGGTCAGAACCAATGAGGGCCAGTGCTGTTTCCGAGTGTTCCTCTGCTTCGATCCCGAAGTTGAGGATCCAAGTCCAGATGGACAGGCCAGACTCACCAGTGAAGCTTTTGAGTGCCGGGAAGTTCGTAGCTTTTCTCTACATGGGCTCCGACCTAGCCCTGCGTTGCGTGGCCTCTGCTGTGAATTTTTCGCCCTCAGCACGGTTTCCAGGAGTAGCCATCGCAGTCAGTTATATTTGCTTGTTTATCTTGCGGCACCCGGCTAACTTGGCAATACTGAGAGCCCGTGGAGAAATTTGCCATAGAATACAGATGGGGAAGCGAAGCGAAATGGTCTCAAAAGATGAGATGGAATTACCTTTTGACACCAAACCTGTTGAAGACTCTTCGAGAAGCTGCTCTTCGATTTGCCTTGCGGTGACCCGGATCGTCGTGCTCATTGTTTTGTGGTGGCCGTGATTGTTTTCTGGGTTGTCTACGGGGTGTTTCTAGCTGCTGTGGTTGTCCTCGCCGGATGCTGGGAGTCCTTCACTGCATCTTCCGAGGTGGTGCGAAATTGTGACCGTTGGACAGCACAGTGTTTGGCTGCCCTCCGATTCCTGGAGTATTTGTGTCATGGGGCTGTGATGGCGATGGTGGCCCCTACAGCCTGTGGAGAGCAACCCAGCTCAGAGTTGCTAGTTTTTGCTCTGCTCTTTGGTTTCAATCTCTGTAGCTACGTGGCATATGCGATGATACAAGACAATGTTGCAAAAATCAAGGAATGTGAAATTCCGTTGGAAGAGAAATGCTTGAAGATTATGGAATATTGTTCATGCTGCTGTGGCAAAGGCCGGGACACGGAGTAACGACTCTGTTGTTTCTGTCAGGCCTGTCGCAGATGTTTATGGAGAGTGGGCTGTCATGGGGGGTGGGGTTGTTCTTTGTTTTACACTCAGGTTTTGGTGAAACGAAGTGTTCAAGCACACAACCCCAACGTTTGTAATTATACTACTGTATACTGCTCAACGTTTCACTCCTTTGCCTTCCATGACATCCCACCGTCCTTATGTTTAGCCCTAGCACAGCAAGTGCAGCGAGTTTTAACTCTGAAGGGTAGCACGCATGCACTTTGTTTTTTTCCTCGTGCGGTGTGTTTGACGCAGCATGGGTGCTAAGGCGGCCGGAAAAATGTTTTTTTCCACGAAAACACGGGAAACAAAGGCAGGAGAGGAGAGAAACCCGGCTGATGGTTCTGACGCGCCTTCTTCTATTTACATCATTCAATCATACTGTACTAGTTACAGTTGGATGGGTCCGGATCGCATTTATTACAGATCCACAGCTCTTGTTTGTGATCATTCCGTCCTCGGATCATCGCGCATTGTTCGAACGTGGTGGATCCGTTGAGCCGACCGTCCTCGGCTTCGAGGCCACTGGCCACTAAGCTCGCCCAGGCGGACCTTGGACTGCGTCAGGGTTGGAGACGGTTGGGGTCTATGCTGGTCTAAGATCGTTTAAGTGTACAATCCTTCCGCTCCTACATGTGTTAAAGAACGTTCCACAACAAAAGTGATGAACAAGTACAGTAAGCGTGCCGCAATCAGGCTCGCGAAAGTAAAACCACAGGCTGCAAAAGCGGCGGGAAAGTGTTCATGAACGCAGGTTGCCAGCATAGCTCAGCATTGATTTTTATACAGTTACAAAGTTACCACATTGCATAGCTCAGTATT